TTGGACCTGGGACCTGATGTGGAGCACGCTCGCACATGTGTGAACCGGGCTGAACCGGCTGTTCCACTCTAGAATCTGGCTAAACCGGTGACGGTTCCACTCTAGAACCAAGAGGTTCCCGGTTTTTGGTTGGAACCCGCACGGCGCACGCGTGTTTTCGAGTCGAACTCGGGCGAGTCCGGTTCTACTCGGGCGAGTCCGGTTCGACTCGCCATTTTTTAAAACACTAATTAATCGTAGGTGGAGTTTAGGGGTCACAATGGACCCGATTGGACCTGGGACCTGATGGGAATACCCGACCTGATGCGCGTGTGCACGTGTGAGTGTGCGTGGGGCACGCTCGCACCTGCGCTTGGACACACGTATGCGCGTGTGAGTGTGTATGCGGCACGCTCGCATGTGTGTGAACCGGGCTAAACGGGATAGAACCGGCTGTTCCACTCTAGAACCGGGCTAAACCGGCGACGGTTCCACTCTAGAACCAAGAGGTTCCCGGTTTTTGGTTGGAACCTGTACGGCGCACGCGTGTTTCCGAGTCGAACCCGGGCGAGTCCGGTTCGACTCGTCGTTTTTTAAAACACTGGGTTAAAGAGTTCACAACCCCAAAATTTAGGGGCCTATAATTAATCGTAGGCAGAGTTTAGGGGTCACAATGGACCCGATTGGACCTGGGACCTGATGGGAATACCCGACCTAACGTCTGATTATGGGTCCAAATTTTGGACCCAAATACTATTTGGATCTTGGTTTGGGTTCAGCTGTACCTGACTTGTACCTATAGTCATAGGGTATGTAATGACAATCATGTGTCTTTAGGCAAGCGCTAGGTATATATTGTCACAATATTGGTAATATTTATGGTATCATTGGCAAAAAAAAAAAAAATAGTCATTGGGTATATGAAGGTAAAAAAACCAAGCAAAAAAAAAAAAAAAAAAAAAAAAAAAAAAACTAACATAGTTATAGTGTGAGAATGGATCCGACCAGACTTGGGACCTAATGAGTAGACCCAGGATTCGGTGGGCCTGGGTGTGGGTTCAAATGTTGGACCCGAATATGAATCGGTCCGGATTCAGATGGACCCGACCCGTTGCCACCGCCATATTGGGGTTTTTCCCGAGGGAGTAAATGAACATTCTCCTCCCGCGAGAGTAGAATATAATTTGCCTTAATTGAGAATGTCCTGCTCGTCTTGAAACCCTTCGACCTTAGTCTTGAAACGCTCCCTTCGCAGTTAGCTGCAACTCTCTATCTCTTACCCTCTGAAGCCCTAATTTATTCCGTCCCGTAAAAATGGTACATTTCTGCACCGTAACCTCTCAATTGGGGTTTCTTCATTATCGAATCGCAATCTCTTAAAGTATTTATCATTCGCAAGATTGATACTGAGGGTTTTCTTCTGTCTTCAACATATACTCTGAAAATTAGGATATGCCTTCAACATATACTCGGAAATTAGGATCTCTCTCACTTTCTGATAGAAAGTTTTTCAAATTAGGGTCTTCACTTCTCAATGCCTTGAATTCATTTTTTTTTTCTTCAATGAATTCGTATTTTTGTTTGATTGAAGAGTTTTCTCATGGATGATATTTTTCTTTTCTTTTCTTTATTTTGGCAGCCTCAAGGGGATTATATTGACCTTCATAGAAAGAGGCATGGCTACCGCCTCGACCATTTTGAGAGGAAGAGGAAGAAGGAGGCACGTGAAGTGCATAAGCGAGCTAGTTTTGCTCAGACGGTATGCAGTTATCTTTGTAAAATTTGTATTTTTGAAAGTTATTTCATTAGGTTGGATTTCATCTTCTTTTTAGTTTTAGTTTTACTTTTTTAAAATTTCGCTGATGAAAAAATGACTTTAATTCTGAGAAAATAAGTATGTTTTGATTTGTGGAAGGCAAGAGAAGGGTTTAAAGTATATTATTATTTATAAAAAGTGACTCTTCCCCATTTGGGTTTACTTGCTTCCAAAGTTGTTTCTTTTTTTTTGGGTAAGTTCCAAAGTTATAACTTTGTGGATTACGAAACACTTTTTACGGAAATGAACCTTTCTATTTCTTACAGGGATGTTATGAATACTTGAATAATCACAATAAATTTTGTCCTACAATGAATGGAAAATTGTTCTTTTCTGTTAGGTTTATTGGGGAGTATTGCACGAATTTTTTTTGCAGTACAGCATGAACTTTGGATGGCTTTTTGTTTAATGTTATTGACAAACTATTGAATATCAAGGGAAGTGTATGTATCAAGTTATGCCTTCAATGTATACAAAGTAACACATATACATGGGAGTCAATCAAGAGGGAAAATCTCCCATAATGTAATAGACTTGTGAATAATTCCCTCCCTTAATGCAATCTAAGTGAATTTCCACTAAGGAATATACATGTTCTCCTTTGAATTCTAATATGCCTGTAAATCCTGATGAACCAACATAATATTGTTAAGTAAGTTGCCAAAGGATCAAAGATAACTGAGGGGATGCTCCAAGACACATTTAGACTTGAAAGTTGAAAGAGCCAAGTGGTGTTATCCATTAACGATCCCCTGACTCTTGGGGACCCTTGATTTTAGAACACTTCCACGTGAAGAAACCGAAGGGGTGGCTATTGGACTTGGGACTCTTACATTTCATTGTTCTCCAATCTGAAGTTTTTACTTCAATGAAATCCTCTTAGTGAATTCCATGGAGTCATTACAATGCAAATCTGATTACTTGTACCCTTCTATAGATGACAAGAGCTCCCTGGATAAATATTTTTCAGCACTAAAAATAAATAGTTGAGGTATAAATCTGGATTGATTGTACATTGGAGACATATGCAAAGGGAATGCAAATTCAAAAGATTTATTATTCCCTTTCTTATCTTGGGGAAAATCATCTGTAGTGTCCTTTTGGAAATACTAGACTCCAAGTCTAGCAAGTGATGGACCCTTTTGCAAGACTATCTTGGGACTTAAGTCCCACTGACCCCTCGTCGGTCTTTTACATTCATTTCTCCCCTTTCATCTCCCTTTTTTGCAATCCTTCTTTTGATATGGCCCAATTTGTATGTAATCATCTTTGAGTACAACTTGTTATATTCGTCTATGCCAACTTATAGTCAACTCTCAAGAAATAAGAAAAATTAGGCTCTTTCGCGTGATGACACTAAGAATGTGTTTGGTTTTGGTGCTTGTGAGAGCCTTATTGAGTCAAAGCCTCTTGGTAGTCTTGGATATATATATATATATATATATATATATATATTAGTGGCTATAGAGTTCATGCAACGGTTGTATCATATATATAGCACACATAAAACCTAA